CCTGCGGGGACAGCTTGGTGGCCTGAATTCTAGACCAGTGCTCTCGGTCAAGGAGTGACCAGCAGCTGTGGCCAGAAGAGCCTGCTGTCCACCCCTAACTCAGCCCATCCTCACCTGGTGTCGTCTCCACGTGGACTGGAAAGGTGGAGGGGTTCAGTGGGAGCCATAATGGGGACAGCTGGACCCCAAGGCTGGGTCACTGGTGGGTGTAGGGGGCAGGGCAGAGAGAAGGGGGTGGAGTGGGAGTTGTCCAGGGGCTGGACTTGCTGTGAGGTGTCAGAACAGCATCCCCTGTAATCCCGGGAGTAGTCAGAGGCGGCTCCTTGCCTAGGACTCAGGGCCATGCTGAGGTGTGGGTACCTGATGGATCTGGCACCCGCAGCAACCCCTCCCTCCTTCACTTGCTCGACACCCCTGCCAGGGAGGTGCTGTGCCCCAGGCTGCGAGCTGGCACACCAGTATGCCGCAGCCCTGCCCGGCACATGGACAAGGCTGTCAGCGGACGTGGGGGACCCCAGGGCAGGCTGTGGGTGGGATCAGACCTGGGATCTGGGGTGGGGCGCATCCCTGGGGCTAGAGGCAGTGCCCAGGAGAGGTGGGGCACAGGTTTGCATTATAGAAGCTAGCTGGGGTGTGGAACCTGCAGGCCAGCAGGCAGGCAGGCAGCTCAGTGAAGGGCATCTGGGGGTAGCAGGAAGCCCTCCCTGCCCTGCCTCTGGCAGCTCCCAGGAACTCTCCCACCCTGTCTTTTGGGCTCCTTTAATGAAAATGCTGCAGGAAGTGAGCTGGGGAATCCTCTCTCCTGGTGAGGCCCGCAGGCAGGTTCCTGGGAGTCAGTGTGGGTACAACACCCCCTGCTGGGCTCACGTGGCAAGGCCATCTGAGCAGCTGGCAGTCTGGGAGCTGCAGCTTGCTTCAGGTCAGGGGACCTCTGTCCACGTGGGTTTGGCCCCCACCCCACCCCACCCCACCCCACCTCACCCTCTGGTGCTGTGACCACCAGCTTGCTTGGGAATAGCCCCAGCCCCAGGCCAGCGCCTGGTTCAAGAGCAGCCTTCTGAGCCCCACAGCCCAGGTGACCCCAGGAGCCCACATGTGGGACCACTCCGCATGTGCCACAGGGAGGGGAGGCTGCCTAGCTCAGTTGTGAAGGGACCCAGGCTGAAAGGTCCACCTCACCTGCTGGACAGTTTTGCAGGGCTGGGGGGTGGCTTGCAGGTGGGGACAAACTGTCAGCCTGACACCCATTTCCTTTTAAAACATTCTCAACCATTAAGCTAGGACATTGCACAGAAATTAGGAAACAAAGTTTATTCATTTTTGCAATGGAACCTCATACACAAAGAGTCTCACCTGATGGCAAAGTGGGTAAAGAATCTGCTTGCAATGCAGGAGACACAGGAGACACAGGTTGGGTCCCCTGGAGGAGGGCATGGCAACCCATTCCAGTATTCTTGCCTGAAAAATCCCATGGACAAGAGCCTAGTGGGCTACAGTCCATGAGGTCACAAAGAGTCGGACACGGCTGAGCCACTAAATAACATAGCAACAACATACACTATACGCTGCTTCTACGGTTTTGATTTTTAAGAGTAAATAATGGATTTCCAGGAGGCCTTTTTCCAGGACAAAATCTAAGAAGCCACCATTCCGAGTTTTGGGGTCTGGCTTTGTTTCCAACTGGAACCCTGCCCTCCCCACCTGCCTCATTTCCCCCTCCCCTGCCCTGTGCTCCTGGGTGGATCCTGAGCTCCATGCTTAGAGGGGACCTCTATGTGGGTGTCGGGTAGGGTGGGAGGGCGGCCACTTCTCTCCGTGTCCTGAGGGTCTGGGGAGTGCGGGGGGGCCCTCTGTGTCCTAACCCCGCATTTCTGCCTGAAGGGAGCAGGGGCAGAATGTGGCTCAGCCAGAGCACTCTGGGTGGGAGCTGGGGGCTCCGGAGCGCCTCACCCTCATCCCACCTCTCAGCCATGCCTACGTGCTCCTACCCCCAGCTCTGCTCACAAAGCCTGAAAGCTGGTCCTTCCAGCGGCGGGTCTTGGTCCTGGGAGCACCTGGGGCGCAGGGTAGGGGACCCCTGTGTTAGCTGCTCACTTTTCATCCCGCCCCCAGGTCGGGGCACTGCGCTTTAGGGAATTTGTGGGGGTCTCCAGCAAATCCAATGTAATGAGCGTCTCTGGCAAAGTCAGGGATACTTACTCACTGCTGGGTGGAGGGCGAGGGAAAGGAGAATGCCCCCGCAACTTCCTCGACGGTGACCCCGCGATGGGTTTGCAGCCCAGTGAGCCCCTCCACACCGGCCTTGGGTAATGGAAGGGGGAGGGGAGGCGACCCCAAAGGCCAGAGCTGCCCACCTTTGGGCCCTGCAGGGCAGGGTAGGGGCCACCGTGCCGGCCTCAGCGTTGCCTCTGCAGGCCTGCCTGGGCTGCGGGGCGTGAGTCAACCAAGGGCGTCATCCTCTGTCGAGGGGAAGGCGGGGTGCGCACCTGTATGTGAGTGTGCGTGTGTGAATACGTGTGGGTATTAGTGTGTGAGTGTGTGCGCACCTCCGCGCTGCTGGGAAGAACCCAGAGCACAGCCGCCTGGAGGTGAAGTTCGGTTGTGGTTTTGGCTCCACGCAGTTCCCTGGTTTCTGCAGTGGCCTGGCAGCGCACATAACCAAGGGAGACACGATACCCTTCCAGGCCACCACCTGGCGCAGGTGGGCTGGACAGTGGGGCCTGGCTGGGGCTCACTGTTAGTGGTATCCAGACTCAGGTGCAGACTCCTGGGGACCTGACTCCGGGAACCCCTGGGCTGGGCGATGACCCTCCCTGGGACAACGCGCTCTGCGTGGTGTGTGTCTGGGGTGTCGTGCACTGAACTTGGGGTGCCCCAGGGAAAGGTCAGTGGTGACTGGCTGCTGCCGCTGTACACAGGTGCTCTATCCCTTAGGCAGGTGGCTCCATCCAGAGTTGGGGGTTGGAATTCAGCTGCCGTGACCTTGGGTGAAACTGGCTGCACCTTCCCTTCCAAAACTAACCCAGAAGCAACACTCCCAGTGAAGGATGTGCCCGGTGTTGGCAACAAATGGGACTGTCTCCAGCTGAGGCGCCAGTTGAGGGGCCAGCATCCCTGTGCTCTGTCCAAATATGCACGAAGTTTCTGTCTCCTATTCAAATGAGGCTTGCTGCTCCCTCTTCTTAATGTCTTAGTGAGAAAGCCCACATCTTAGTTTTGTTGTTGTTTAGTACCTAAGTCGTGTCCAACTCTTTTGTGACCCCATGGACCGTAGCCTCGCCAGGCTCTTTGAGCTTGGGATTTCCCAGGCAAGAATACTGGAGCAGGTTGTCATTTCCTTCTTCAGAGGATCTTCCTAGTTCAGGGATGGAACCCATGTCTCCTGCCTTGGCAGGTGGAGTCTTTACCACTAAGCCACCAGGGAAGCCCCACATCTTACTAGTCAGTAGAAAAAAAATTTTTTTTTGATAATTGGTAGTGATCATGGTCTCTTCTTGCAATATGGAAGATTACATTAATGTTAGTCACTCAAATGTGTCTGACTCTGTGTGATCCCATGGACTGAAGCCCACCAGACTCCTCTGTCCATGGAATTCTCCAGGCAAGAATACTGGAGTGGGTTGCCATTCCCTTCTCCAGGGGACTTCCCAACCCAGGGATTGAACACTGGTCTCCTGCATTGCTGGCAGATTCCTTACCATCTAAGCAACCTGGGAAGCCCGGAAGATTACATTAAGTGCATTTAAATATGTGTTTTTGAGAAGGGGCCTGTGGGTTTCAGTAGCTGGCCAGAGGAGTTGAGGCATACAGGAAGCTGGAGCCCCCAGTTCCCTGGTCCCTGGGTGGTTGGTGAAGCTGGCCAGATGGAGGCTGGTGAAGGCATAGGGAGGCCCAGGTGGGCAGAGCCCCAGGAGATTGCCTATCGCCGTAACAGCTGGGGAAGTTGATGTCTCACACCTTCTCCATAAGAGGGTCCCAGGAGACATGGGCAGGGTCCTGTGGGGCAGGGGGTAGGGGAGGCAGGATCAGGACCCTGCAGCCCCAGAATATAGGTAGAGGGCATAGGGTGAGTCTGTCTGCACCCATTTCCACTACCCAATTCCAGTTGCAAGAGGGCCCTACTCCCACTGACAGGTTCCCAGAAGATCCGTTTTGGGGAGGGGACAGTGGCACTGGAAAAGCCATCCCAGCCCTGGGAGTCTGGACCAGGGTCTCCAGGGGAGCCCATCAGAGGTCAGGTGATCTCTCTGACCTCCCCCTCCTTTGGGATTTCATGGCCTCCTGAGGGGAGCAGTGTCATGTCACTAGGAGGGTCATGTCAAGAGCTAGGAGGTGGCACTGGGGAAGGGGTGAGGAAGGGGAAAGCAGGTTAGCAGCGAGGGTCGGCTCTGGCAAACATGAGGGGCGCTCCAGAGCACCCCCAGGGGTAGACCTCAGGCAGCAAGCCTGGGCCTCAGGACCTGGAGTGTGGGCCCTGGACGTCACCGACCCTCTGGCTTCTTCCCTTGAGCCCTGCCACACCCAGCCTGACCCAGGGGCTGGGGAGGGGGCGGGTCAGTGGTCTGTGACACAGACAAGGCAGGCTGGGGCATTTGAAGACTGAATAAAGTGCCAAGTTTGAGAGCAGGTGAGCTGGAGGTCAGCAGGAATGCCCCACTTCAGCTGTGTCCCAGGAGGCCCCACCCCTGTGGGTCTCAGGCTGACCAGGGAGAGCCAGATGGGGCCAAGGGGGCCCTCCTGCCAAGGGGCCCCTCCTGCCAAGGGGCCCACTGGCCAGTGGTTGCCACCACAGTCTTGGTCACATAGAACAGACCCCCAGAGCTGCCTGGAGAGTCAGACGCAGGAGTCGAGGGCCAGGGGGACGACCGCAGTGGGCCTTAGAGCTCAACCCCCTTGGAAATGCTACAAAGACACGGCTGCTGAGGATGGGGTTACTTATGTCAGCCGGGAGGCTGGAGACAGTGACACATACGGCTATCTGGGAGAGAGGACAAGCGGAGGCAAGGATGGCGAGTTTATTCACTCAGCTCAAGACCCTCGTGGGAGGACGGTACACAGCACAGGAGGGGCAGAGACAGAAGAGAGCAAGGCCCCCAAAGGCTGGGGGGAAAGCAGTGTCCGTGGCTGTTGGGAGAAGCCTGTGGACCCTCGGTAACATGGGGCTGTCTCGGGTTCATCTGGGCCTGGCCCAGAGGCTGCAGGTGAGCTAAGCCCTGCTTGTTGGGGTTTCAGGTCAGTGCATGTTCATGCAGGTCTTGGTCAGATCCTGAAGGGGGCCAGAGGCTGGCAACAGAGGGGGATGGAGTGGCCCATAGCACCTGGGTGGCCCTGAGAGGATGTGCCAGGTCAGCAGCAGGGCTCCGGGGCTGAGGTGGGGATGCAGCAGGCTGGGCGGGAGCACACGGGCTGGCAGAGCAGGGACACAGAGGAGGCTGGGCGGCAGCAGCTGGGCTGGCAGGAGGAGGCGGGCACGCAGCAGGCGGGGCGGCAGAGGAGGGACACAGAGGAGGAAGATTTGCAGCAGGACGAGGGGGCTGAGCAGGGGGAGGCCTCACAGCAGACGGGCTTGCAGCAGACAGGAGTGCAGCAGACGGGCCTGCAGCAGACAGGAGTGCAGCAGACAGGCCTGCAGCAGACAGGAGTGCAGCAGACGGGCCTGCAGCAGACGGGCTCACAGCAGGCCTGCTGGCAGGGGGAGGAGGTGCAGCAGGAGGGCTGGCAGCTAGACTGCTTGCAGCCCAAGGCCAGGGAGGAGCTGCTGCAGGCTGGCTGGCAGCAGGGGCTGGACTCGCAGCTCACTGGGGCGCAGAGGAGGGCCAGGCGGGGGGCTGGGGTGCAGCAGCTGGGGGCACAGCAGGAGGGCTGGCAGCAGCTCTCTGGACAGTCATAGCTCAGGTCACTGGAGCAGACAGACAAGGCGGAGGTAGCCATGGTGAAGGCGGTGGGGCTGAAGGAGGGTGAGGATGTGAGTGTGTGTGAGTGAGTGTGTGAGTGTGTATGTGTGACGTGCTCAGGCTGCCGGCTTTATACCCCTCTTCTGTGTGTGTGTTGTCCCAACAGAGGCTCACAACGCGCTCCTTTCCTGGTTGGTGTTTGAATCTGGCTCCAGGGAACCCTCATTAGGGCTGCGTTGTTTTCCCAGGAGATGGAGGCCCAGCTCGTAAATGTCCTGCCTGTGTGTCGGGCCGTGCTGCTCCTGACCACGTGCTGAGTAGGTGTGGGAGTACAAGGCCAGGGTGGACCCAGCATGGGCAGTGGGGGCTCTTGGCCGCTGGGCACTCATTCTGGGCGCCAGGGGATTAGGGAATGGGACTTGCATTCTGGGCCTTGGAAGAAGCTCTTTACTGGGGCTTGTGGCCCCTTTTCTTTTGCGTTTGTCACAAGCGCCTGCAGATGGAGGGAGAGGGGTTACCTGGGTGGGTTCTGGCTGGGTGTGTCCAACTGCCCTGTTTTGGGCAAGGCTTGCAGGAAGGGCGTGGCTGAGACCAACAGACTTTGCGTCTCCAGGGGTGGGCTCATGTTTATGGGCGGTGGTCCCCATGCTCAGCATGTCTTGTTTCCACCTGCTAGGATTTAGGCATCCCTGTGACTTGGGCCACAGCGGGTGGCCCAGCAGAGGCTCAGCCAGGTGGGGCTGGGAATGGCTGCCCCCTCCTCCCAAAGCTGGGCACCTGCTCATTCTCCCAAGGATGGGTCACCCCTCCTTCTGCAAGACAGATTGCTGGGGCTCCTTCTGCCTCTCCTCCTGCCTCCTTGCAGACGTCCACTCAGACTCTGCCCCACCCTGCCCCCGCTGCATCTTTCCTAGGAGATGAGCCTGGACCTCTGTCTGTGGGCTCCTGGGACACCCTGGTGGGATCACTGGTGGTCGAGGGAAGAGTCACCAAAAGCTGTTTGAGCCTGACGCTGCCAGGTTCAGCGGTCAGGGCGGCTCTACGGGTGAAGGGTGGGGGAGGGGAGAGACAGGTGGCACAGGTGGCAGGGGTTAGTGAGGCCAGCATGCAGCTGGGATGTGACAGCTACCATGAAGGGGTGGGAGCTGGGGGTAGGGAGGCCCTGCCGAGGAGTCTGGGGTTGGTCAGAAAGGCAGGTTGACCCTCAATGGTGTGTACGGGGAGTGGTTGGCTGGACAGGAAGGTTTATTTCATTATTAATTGTTTTTATATCGTCATCTTAAGCCACAACACTTAGAAATTATGAATCTGTTTATCATGTACATTTGCACCAGTTTCCCGTGGCTGCTGTAACAAAATGGTTAACACTGGATCATGTGAAATATCCAGACAGCAGAATTGTATTCTCTCACAGTTTTGAGGCCAGAAGTCTGAGAAGAGTTATAATGAGCTGAGATCGGGGCATCCTATGGCCGGAGGGGAGGGCCCTTCCTGCCTCCTCCAGCTTCTGTGCCTCTGGGCATCCTGGGCTTGTGGCTACTTCCCTTCAGCCTCAGCCTGTCTTCGCGTCCCCTCCTCCTGGTCAAGAGCCTTAATCAGCAAGTTGCAGTCAGTCTGCAAAGTTCTTTTTCCTCCCAAGATCATGTGCACAGGTGTGGGCTGATCCAGAAAAAGCTTCTGGGCTGTGGTTGCTGGGAGGCTCTGGGTCAGAAAGGGAGCTTCAGGGGTCTGCTCTCCGCTCTTCCCGCCTCCATTCACCTTCTCTCCATCTTCCCACACACGCTTCGGGAGCACCCAGGGCGCAGGTAAAGGCTCAGCCCTGCCCAGGCAGCCTAGCGTCAGCTCTCCTCTGCTGCCTGAAACTCTGCTGCCCGCGCTCTGGCCTCGAAAATATTTATTTACTTATTTATTTTTGCTTTTTGGCTGCCCCCTGCAGCATATAAGATCTTAGTTCCCCAACCAGGGATTGAACCCAAGCCTCCTGCTTTGGAAGCACGAGGTCTTAGTCACTGTGAAACCAATTGTTGTCATTTCAGGGGGCCTCTGAAGAGCTCCGGTATCATAGCCCTTTATGTGTCAGGGCAGAGAAGCATTCAGTGAGAGAATGCTTTTGCAGAGAAGCATTCAGCGAGAGCAAAGTGGTAGATAAGAAGTGGCTTATTAGAATAGGCTTCCCTGGTGGCTCAGATGGTAAAGAATCCACCTGCTATGCAGGAGACCTGGGTTTGATCCCTGGGTCAGGAAGATCCCCTGGAGAAGCGAACGGCACCGCACTCCAGTATTCTTTTTTTTTTCTTTTTTTTCCATTTATTTTTATTAGTTGGAGGCTAATTACTTTACATCATTACAGTAGTTTTTGTTATACATTGAAATGAATTAGCCATGGATTTACATGTATTCCCCATCCCAGTCCCCCCTCCCACCTCCCTCTCCACCCGATCCCTCTGGGTCTTCCCAGTGCACCAGGCC